TTTTGCGAGTGTTGCTTGCATAAGAGTCATTCATTTAGCCAGGATACTACTGTTGGACAATTATGGTTTTTCAGTTTTTTTTAATATTAGACATAGTGTTGCTATCCATGTATATATAAGTTTCTGTCCATGATTATTTTATTAGGGTGAGTTCCTTAAGTGGAATTACTGGGTTAAAGCGCTTGATAAATATTGTAAAATTACCTTTTAGAAAGGCTGTATCAATTTGTTCTCCTGTTAGCAGACCATGATAATATCCTTTTCACCATTCTCTGGCCAGTACTATACAATGTAATTTTTATGTCAAAATTCACTTTTTTTTTGGCAGTACTGGAGGTTGAATTCATGGCCTTTGCACTGAATCACATCTCCAGCCACCCCACCCCCTTTTTTAAAAATTTTGATACAGGGTCTTACTGAGTCCCTAAGTTGCTTAGGCTGGTCTCAAACTTGTCAGCCTCCCAGAGTGCTGGGATTACTAGTATGTACCACCATGTCCAGCCTAAATTGACAGTTTTTAAAAAGTGTCTAATTAGCAAAATCATGAGTGCATGTAGCTAAAAAACACTCACTTCGCTAGATGATGTGCAGCCAAACCCTTCTCCCTCTGCAGAGGTGAGCATGTTGTAATCCCATGGCTGTTTCTGTTTGGAATTACTTACATGTTTCTAAATAACATCTTATATGTAACGTGTGATTATTTACTGATTTTAGAAGTAATCTATTAGTTTCCTACTCTGATAGGTAGTTGTGCCTCAGTTTCCTCATCTGTGTGCCTGCTTCAAGGTCACAAAGATAGGTGGGTTAGGGAATGTAAAGCGTTTGGGCAGGGCCTGGCCCTGGTAAGGTCTCTGTGAGTGTAGCATCCAGTAGTGATTGCAGTGTCAGTGGAGATGATGAGTAGCTAACTAAGTATCCCCAACACCCTATGAATCATCTTCCACCCAACTACCGAATGGAGAGGAAAACTTAGTTTTGCATTGCCTTACAGAAATCAATCTGAGTCACTGGATATCTGCAGAAAGGCCTGTGTTGAAATGAGACAGTCAAAGGCCTGGAGCGTCTGACAGTGATGCCACATCGTCCATGCTAGTGGTGCAGCGGTGAAGCTCCATCTCCGCTGTTAACATGATGTACTATTTTGATGGCACAAAAATGGCTTTCTACAACAAGCATTTGCACACAAATTTTCCCCCATTTATTATTTTTTAAACAGCACTCAAGCATTACATTTTTAAATTTGTAGTAACTTGACACAGATTTTAGCTTTTATTTTCTTAAAACTAAATTTATGGGATTCTGTAGCTATCACCACCATCTAACTTTAGAATGTTTTCCTCTTCACCAAAGTACACCCTGTACCCACTAGCAGTCACTCCCACTCTTCCTCATCTTGCCTTCACCCTAAAACACAACTAGCTGTTTTTTGCTCTTTATGATATACTTACTCTGAATTCTTCATGTAGGTGGAATTATGAAAACATAATTCCTTTTTTGGGTGGACATTTAGATTGTTTCCACCTTTAGGATATTATGAGTGGTACTGCTATGAACACTAGTGTACACACTTTTATGTGGACATGTTCATTTCTTTTGTATATGTACTAAGAGGTAGAATTTCCTGGGTACATGGTAACATATTTTTAATTTTTTTGAGTAAATACCAGAATGTTTTCCACAGTGCTGCATCATTTAGACCAACAATAAAGGAGAATTTCAATTTCTCCACCCTCATTAGTATTTATTATTATTATTGGTTTTTTGTTTTGTTTTGTTTTGTTTTTTTGATAAGGGTCTCAGTTTGCATCCCAGGTTAACCTTGAACTCCAGGTCCTCTTGCCTCAGCCGTCTCAGTGCTGTGATCACATATTTTTGTCACCATACGTAGCTTTTTTCTTTTTCTTTTTTTGTTTTTCTTGTGGTACTGGGGATCCATCCCAGGCCTTTACTTAACTACATCCCCAGCTCAACTCATCTGTCTGTTATTCTAGTCATCCCAGTGAGTGTGAAATGGTACCTTTTTGATTTGCCCTTCCCAGAGAAATAATGAGGTTGAGCATCTTTTTGTGTGCTTCAGTATGTGTTGAAAGCCTTTGCTCATTCTAAAATTGAGCTCTCTTATTGTTGAGTTGTAAGAGTTTCTCACATGTGTACACAAGTTACACACAAGTTACACACAAGTTGCTTGTCATACATGTGATTTGCATGTACTTTCTCTGATACTGTAGTTCACTTTCTCGCTGGCATTGTTTGAAGCACAAAAGTTTTCAATTTTTCTGTAGTCCAATTTATGTTTCTTCTTTCATTGCTTATATTTTTGGTTTTGTATCTAAGAGACCACTGTCTATCTGAGGTCATGAAGGTTATGCCTGTGTTTTTTTCTAAGAATTTTATATTCTAGCTCTTACATCCCGGTTTCTGATCCATTTTGAGTTAATTTTTGTGTACAGTGTGAGGTATGACTCTCTGCATTCATTGCTTCTTATGTGGCTATCTGGTTGTCCCAACATATTGTTGAAGAAACATTCTTGGAATTGTCCAGGCACCCTTGCTGAAAGTCAAAATGAAAGTTGTTTTCTAGAATGGACATTCATTGTCTCTTTTGAGTCACTATCTCTTAGAACTATTAATAGAAACTGCTCTAGCCGGGTGTGGTGGCACAGGCATGTAATCCCAACACTCAGAATGCTGAGGCGGGAGGATCTCCGTGAGTTCAAGGCCGGCCTGGGCTACATAGTGACTTCAAAGCTAGCTTGAAGTACATAGTGAGACCCTGTCTCAAAAAAGGAAAGAAAACTGCTCTATAATATGGAAGTGTTTTTTCTCTTTTTAGCACATAGGCTTAGGGATTACATTTTTTTTTTTTTTTGATAACACACACTGAAGAAAGATTTAACTTCTGTAGTAACTGATGTATAAATATTTGCTGAACTTTCCTTATTTCCCTAACAAGGTAATTGACTGGCCCCATCCGCTGCGTTTCTGTGCTCCTGTGTCAACAGTCTCTCCTTCTTTCAAGATTTCTCATTTCACTACTAATTGAAATTTGTAGCCTCTGGCTTCAAATACTTTTTAAAGATAAGGCTTAATTAAAAACATTGAGCTTGGAATTTTCTGATTCCAGAATAGAATATTCTCTCAACATGCTGTAACCTGTGACAGCCCCATATGGCACAGGGTGTCCTCAGTTGCTAGCTTGCTTGGTGTCGCAGGTTAACCTTATACTTCTGGCTCTTTCTCACCAAGGGTGGTGTTGGGCTCCAAATCTGGTCTCTAGAAATATCCACTACCCCTTCCATATGGTCATCATCTCTTTTTCTTTTTTGCTGTGCTAGGAATAGAACCCAGGGCGTGGTACCTGCTAGGCAAACACTTTACCACTGAGCTACCCCCCCAGCTTGATCATCCTTTTAAGATGGTCACCTTCCCACAACTCTGTCCTGCCTTATATTTTGTTTTGTTGTTCTTTGGTACTGAGGATTGAACCTTGGGGCTCTGCCACTGAGCTCTACACCCAGCCTTTTTTAGTTTATTGTTGAGACAAGGTCTCATTAAGTTGCCCAGGTTGGCACTGAATGCCTGATCCTAGCCTCAGCCTCTGTAGTAGCTGGAAAAGCAGGCATGTGCCATCACGCCCAGTCTTTATTTATTTATTTGCATTGCAAAATCTTTTTGATATAATATGCACCCTCCCCCTAAAAATGTGAGCTCCACGAGGGCAGATGTTTTGGGCTGCCAGTTTCTGTTCCTTGTCCTGGAAGCAGCCTGGTCCACCCCTCCCCCGCCGCCAGTAGTAGCAGCAGCCAGCATCCCTCCCTCAGTCCAGGGCTCTCCACCCCTACTCCCTCATGCCTCCAGGCTCCTTGTCACACAGTCCTGCAAAGGAAATTGGCTTTATCGTTCATGGACTTCTTTTCTGGTTTTGTTCTTTTTTTAATGTAGAGGCCTATATACTCTTAACATATGTAACATATGGGGAGAGGGAACCAGCAGGGACCACCAGGCTTGTGTAAAGGCAACATGGCACAGAATTTATTGCTCCTGGGTGTAGGCAGGCAGAGAGTGCGATAAGACCTTCTACCCCAAACAAAGAGAAGTGTGTCCCTTTTATAGGGATGGAGAGAAGGGGCGGGGGGGGACATTAGGCAGGAAGATTGTAATAAACATTTGTGGTCAAAGTGCTCTGGCAGTCTTGCGTCTCAGTGGGCAGGGTTCTTGAAGTCTCCACTATAAATTCTCGAGTGTATCTAGATGTCCCCAAATGTCCCAGAACCTGCAAAATTCCTTGTCCTGCCTTATCTCCTTTCCTGTGCTTGTGGATGACAGCTTGGTACTCTGCTGAGTTCCCTGCAGAGGATAGTGCCTCTGCTGGCAGTCAAGTTGGGGACTGGGAGAGTCAGGTCCAATTTGAAACTGACATATCTTACTGTGCTTGAGAAAATAGACATGATTAGATGCATTGTGTGGAATTGGTCCTCGTGGATGGCCTGGCTGGTGCTGCCCAAGGCCTGGAGGAGACAACCCAGGCTCCCCAGGTCTTCAAGGCCAAGTATGGCCAGATGCCCATGATAGGGCATATGACTCACTATAGCCTGTGTGGGAGTATGGGCCAGCATAATAAAAAATTTAAAAACCCAATATTTAGTAGGCAATAGAGATTAGAGAATAGGCAGATTTTACCTCTGGAAAATTATATTGTCACTAAATATAGTGTGTCTTAATCTTAAGCATTTTGTGTTCATGTTGAATTAGAAATATAGAATATGTAATCTATGTGTTAATTACAGCTATGTTAAATGAAAATACTCAGAAAACAAGAAATCACCAAATTGTTAAAATCGTGTTGAAGGAAGTTTGACTTTTATATGTTTTCCACACCTCATGAAATACCTTTGAATTTCTCTCATAATGGGAAAGCGCCTTTCTCCTGTGTTAAAACTACTATTGCCTTAGACTTGTTATTTCCTATGGATTTTAGCAGTGTGCTTTTTCTGTTGCAGGATGGTAAAACAAAAGAGAAAAGGTCCTGAAGTGACAAAGAAAAACAGGAAAAAATTGAAGGTGTCTGTGGAAGAGACACTGCGGGCAGCTGATGCCACAGCAGATGAGGAGGAAGCCAGCCTGGAGGTAAGGCCGTGTGGTGCCTCTTTGGGAGAAGGCCGCATTGGTTACACATGGGGCTGCTAAGTGCCCCCGAAAGCCGTCATAGTACCCAGAGGAGTCTTAAGTGTTTGTTAGGTTGGAACACTGTTACTACCTCGTCAGCTGCCATATCTATAGACTGCGAGGTAAATGCCCTGTTTTACATGGTACTGTGAGGTGCAAGATTGGCCCAGTGGGGGCCCCAAAATGTTGGGGGCCTTGAGATGATGAGGGCCTGGAGTGGGCCTGGCCTGTGCTGGAAGGAAAGGGGCATCACATGCAAAAGGAAAGACTGTTCCTCACTGTGAAGCTCACAAGTGGCAGGAGACCTTTCTAAAATACTGAGATTTAAAAGTGTTCATTCACATGCTGAGAGGTTGAAAATCGATAGTATCTTAGATCTTAGGTACAATCCATTGCATACAGATCTTAGAACTATATGCAGTGGATTGTAAACATGATTTTCGTACTCACCAAGATGGTGCCTGTGCAGACTGTTCCTGAGGCTGTATATTTCTGTTCTCTGTCCTGTATTGCTCATCTTCCACAATAATATACATACACATTTATACTTGTACCCACCAAGTTGAGTGTTGAAATTTTACTTCTATAATGAGCTCTCTTTTTAGTTAGTACTGTTCAGTGGTCAAAACAGTATATTATCAATTTTCTCAAATTAGCATCTCATCGTGCTTTGGCAGGACTCTGGGTGTGTGTGTGCTGAGGTTAAACTCAGGGCCTTGTGCGTACTAACTATGCACTGTACATCTGAGTTATACTCCCAGCCCCACAAAATATATTTTAAAGATCTACTATTAAGTGGCAACTTGATTAGGCCCCTCTTCATTTTTTTTGGAAGGAAGAATTGGAAGACACTGATTGGCACTTGAGTTTGTTCCCTTCTGTGGCACGGCACTGGTACTGCAAGCTTGCCTTCATGTGGTGCCCCAGAAGTCCTTGTACCTAGCGGGAGGAATGCACCACAGTACGACTGGGTGGCAGATGTTATTTCTTTCATAAAATGAGAGAGGGGCCCCTCCCAATGTGAAGTCCTGGCTCCTTGACTAGACCCAGTGAGGCTTCGATCAGAAGGCTTTGCCAGTGTGCACTGTCCATCAGGCTGAAGGCATTCTCTGACCCCTGACTTGGGACATCTTAATGCTTTCAGGGGATTTGTGCCCAAGCTGGGGCTGGTCACTAGGACTCTGTCCAATTAGGCAGTTGCACCTTCTGGGAGATGATGTAACATAATGTATGGGTCTCTGTTAGGCACCAAACCAGGAGCCAAGGGCTGGGGTGGATGGGTAGGGGCAGAGCATTTGCCAAAGCAGGGCTCAGCCGTGTCTTAGTGGTTCATATCTCAGGTCCTGGACCACCTGAGAGAGCAGGAAAGTCAGACAGGACCCAGGATTCCTTTCTTGTCCTATGTGCGTTGGCTCTGTACCCAGGCCATAAGCAACTACGTGGGTGTGAGGTACCTTGCTCCAGGTCTGCACAGGTCTTAGGGAATAGGGAAGCATTTTACATGCATCTTCCTCCATGTCAGCCTCTTATTTACCATGCCATTAAATTTCTGTTTTCCCTGTGCAGACTCCCTCTTGCTGAAACCATATGTGTTGATTCTTATTTTAAAACAGGGTGTCACAAAGTTACACAGGCTGGCCTGGAACTTGCCATCTTTTTGTCTTCTCTCCTGAATAGCTAGGATTACAACCATGTAGGTGTGTGTGTGTGTGTGTGTGTGTGTGTGTGTGTGTTTGTTTTTGCATTACTGGGAATCAGACTTGGGAACTTTGCACTGAACTATATCCCCAAATCTTTTTATTTACTTTTTAAGTTTTGGGACAGTGTCTCACTAAATTGCCCGGCCTGGACTCAGACTTGTGATCCTTCTGTAACACTCTCCAAGAGTGCTGGGATTACAAGCCTGTGCTATCATGGCTGGTGTTTGTTCTGTATGGCTTACAGATTCCAGGTGTAAAGCGTTTCCAAGAGCTCCTGGAGCCTTGAGTCGGGCCATGCTGTGGTCTAGCTGCCTCCTTGCAGAGCTTCCTGATGGGGCTTTCCTGCTTTTTGAGGCTCCTCCATTTTCTTTGAAATGAGCTCCATGCTGTCACCTTGGAAGTTTCGATGTGATAAAACTTCTAGCTTTCTTTGCCTATTGAGCCCTCTAGCATGATCTCTGCAGGCTACTGGCCTCTGGCAGGACCCACAAAACAGAGCAGGTTGGGGTTTATGGTACATATGGGCCAAAGTTAAAATCCCTGCCTGAGCTAGAACATGGTGGATATTGTTTTAAGTTCAGAAAAGTCTCAAAGTATGTGATTATTTTTCATTATTAAAATACATGTTGATTAAAGGAAATATGGAAAAAAAGTGGAAAGAAGACATCCCCTCTTTGGGGATGTTTTCCTCTAAAAGCTCTTCTTTGGAAGCTAGATTTTGGTTTGGTTTACAACATGGAATTATTGGTAAATTCATGTGCTTTGTTGAAATTTCCTACACAGGTATTGAGGGTTGGCCTCAGGTTCACCATGAGCAAGCAGCAGGATGTCCCATGGCTCTAGGGGGAGCTTGTGGGGGAGGAGGCCTGTTTGCCCTTGTCTGTAAGCAGCTCTCTGGCGTGAGGTGGTACTGGCATACCAGCAGGGGTCAGCAGCTACACTCCTTCTGGAGGGAGCGCAGGAGCCCAGTTAGTTCCCAGGCTGGCCGGCAGCTTTTCAGTGTGGTCTTTGTGACTTAGCTCTGTGGCTTGGGAGCTTACGTCTGAGGCCCCTTCTTGTATTTCTGGAGCCAACCTCTCAACAGAGTGGGGACTCTCTGTCCTTAAGAACACATGCTGGTCTCTGCTCTCTGCACAGCTCTTCACCCACTCTTTCGGTTCTCATGGGAAATGATTACAAAGAGGCATCAGGCATATTTTTCAAAGAAAAAATATGGAAAGCTGAACATAAGTGTTCACAAAGGGTGGGTTGCAAAGCCTAGAGAGCAGCGGTTCATGTTATTAGGAATTCGTGGAAAACTACTGCATCAGCCCCTCCCTGTCGCCAGCACCTCCACATAAACCTCTGGGATCTGCAGTGGAGAAGGGAGAAGTCTCTGTCCCCTCTTGGGCCACTGTGTTGTCCTCCCAGGAACGTCCATCTGGGGAGCTTGGCAGCCTGCACAGCCTCTTCCCACAGTACAAGCTCTGTGCTTACGCCAGGACAGTTGAAGTGTCCCCAAGTGCTGGAAACTTCATCGCCCCTTGGGGAGTGGTTTCCATGGAGCCTGAGTTCCCACTCAGGCTGTGGGCTTGGCATGCAGAGCTGCCTGGCCGTCTGGGCTGTGGCTCCTGCTGGTGCTTTGGTCTGCAGTGTGCCAGGCTCCTCAGCCAGGCTTATTCGTCACCTTCCTCTCCAGAGACCCTGGCAGGCCTGAGTGCTGGGGAGGTGGGTGGTCTGGCAGGGCCCTATGCAGGGCAGAGCTGCTCCAGAGTAACTTGCTTGTTGTCTCAGTGGCTAGGTTCCATCTGCTTTACTGTTGATCTTAGAAAGGACCTGGCTCCTGCTGTTCCTTCTTCCTTGATTTTGCTAGGCCGCAGATTCAGGGGCTGTAAATTGGAGTTCAGCAGACTTTCCTGTTCTAGAATGATGCTCTGGACCACAGGGGCCTTGGCCTTTGTCCGTCTGCCTTGGGAAACCCTTCCCAGGAACCTGGGCCTAGGAGTTCAGCTTTATTTATTTGAACCTTTCCAGACCTAGTGTCCTGTTAGAAGAAGGCTGTGGGACTAGCTTATAGATAGCTCAGGTCTTGATTGGTTGGGGCATCAGGCTTGGCCTGGCTGGCTCACTGGGCCCCCACTGGAGCTGGTTGAGGTAGAAGGAGGTTGCAGTTGTGCTTCTGCATATCTGCCTGCCTACCCTCTTCCCCTCCTTCCTTCCCAACCCCTCCAGAGGAGGTGCTGGGTATGCTGTTCATGGTATTCTGAACCATGTGAAGTGAGACAGCATAAACATAACTGTCACAGCAGAGCCAAGTGTCTACAGGGCTTAGGGGCCCTCTGATGAGCGGGCTACCTCTTTGCTGCTATAAACACAGCTCTGGCTGCCTGGAAACTGAGCAAGTGAGCTGGGTGGAGGGCAGGTCTTGCTCATCCTCTCATTGATAGGAATCACGTCTGCCAAGCACTTTTCTATGGGTAAAAGTGCCAGTGTTGGGTCCTCAGCAGCCCCTGAGTTGTGGGGACCAAAGTGTGGATGTTGTAACAATCCTAAAGACAGAGCCAAGTGACTGGATCACATGTACCTGGCCAGCTAGTGACAGAAAAGAGACTCACTAGTAGGCTTCCTGCCACTGGCCGCCCTGTCCCCAAGGACACCTGCTGTCAGCCCTTGGTGTGGCTAGCCTTCGAGTGGTCCTCCGTAGTGGTGGTTCTATGGGTGTAGCAGCCAGTGACGCTCCGTGCAAAGAGTATCCCCTGTGTGATTGGAAACTGCCTCACTGTGAGAGTGGGTGGTGTTGATGGGGACCACACTGTCTGTGGAACGCAGTGCGTAGTGTGCAAGGACAGGTCTTCCAAAGAGGGAGGAGAGCACTTCTCTCTCAGAATGTGTGTGCAGTTGGTGAGCCAACAGCTTCCCCAGGACCAAAGTGCAGTCTTACCATTAGTATGTTTCTCGGGCTTTTTGATGCGCCCAGCTGAGAGGCTGACCTTGTTCAGAAGGAAGCTGCTTGGCTGTGGCTCTTGATTTCCTCCTTTGTAATCTCAAAAATCAGATGTGAATTATATGGCTTTAAACTGACAGCTTTGTATAAAACCATTAAAATGAGGTTATGGCCTTGAGAATTTCCTCAGAGTCCAAATGCTTCACATCAATGGTATTTTGCCTCCAGGACTGTCACTGCTCTGGCCGGGTTTGCCTTTACACCCTTGGGGCTGAGTAGTTGCGGTCTTTACAAACAGCTCTCTGGGAGCCTGAGTTGTTTTTCTTAGTGGAATTTCA